TTTTTTGAGACAGGGTCTCACTATGTAGTTGAGACTTATCTGGAACTCACTATGTAGCCCAGGCTGGTCTGAACATCCTCCTGCCTCAGCCTCCCGAGTGCTAGGATTATAGGCATGTGCCACCACGCCCGGCTCAGGCTTTATATTTTTTAACTGTTGAGACATGGTCTTGCTAAGTTGCCCAGGCTGGGCTCAAACTTGAGATCCTCCTGTCTCAGCCTCCCAGAGTGTTGGAATTTGAGACAAGGTCTTGCTATGTAGTCCAGGCTGGTTTTGAACTCTAAGGGGCCACTGTGTCCAGCTTAAGGGAGATTTTTGATCCAAATAAGTTTCTTTGCTCTCCCTTTTTGTGTTGGGACGAGCAGGGTGAGGACCACTTCCTCATAAATCATAGCTTCATGTTTTCAGTAAGAATAAATTTGTAGGGGATTGGGAGTGTGGCTCAGTGGTAAGGCATTTTTGCCTAGCATGCCCAAGACCCTGAGTTCAATTTCCAGCACTCAAAAAAAAAATCTGAATTATAAGCCATATTTTTTTGAGATGGGATCTCATTATGTTCCCCAACCTGGCCTTGAACTTGCAATCCTTTTGTCTCAGCCTCCAGAGTAACTGGAATTATAGATGTGAGCCACAGGGCTCAGCTTCAAACTTAAAAATAATAGAAAATAGACTTCATTCCATTTTTACCTCCTTTTCTTCAGACCCTGGCTTAATTTCTTGCTTACTATTTTTATATTTTCAGTGCTGGGCATTGAGCCCAAAGCCTTTTACATGCTAAGCAAGTGCTATACCACTATGCTATACTCTCAGGCCCTGATTTCTTTGGAAATAAGGACAGGATGGAGATAACTCAGAGAGTGGCTATTGGACCCTTTATTAAGCAACTCCTACCACATGTTGGCACTACTACTATGTTGGAGACACCACAGGATCCCTCTTGTGTCACCCTTAGCCATGGGCCTTTAGTGCTCTGCTAGAGAAGCAATGCTAAGGGAAGCAGCCTGGAGATTTTCACCCTATCTCCAGCACAGTGAAAAGGGGATGACTTGGACATTCAAACTAGGAACTGACTCCTTTCCCTAGCAAGCATACCAGGTAGTCCTGAGACAATCATGTAATTCTGATGATAAAATTAAGATCTGAAATCTAATGGATTGGCCAACATCATTTTAAAACTAATTTGCAGCCTTTTGTTGGTATGTAGAGCTCTGTTTATGTTTTTTTGTTTTGTTTTGGAGACGGTCTCACAGTGTAGTCCAGGCTGGTCTTGAACTTACTATGCAGCTCAGGCTGGCCTTGAACTTGTGGCAATCTTCCTGTTTCTGCAAGTACTGGAATTACAGGTGAGTGCCACCACACCCAGCCTTTTTATTTTTATATTTTTATGGGACTGTCTAGAATTTTCTCTACTATCCCCCTGTGCTGTCCTTAACCCCTCAGAAATTATACCCACTCTCACATTCCCATACTCTCAGTTCAGGCTGCCATTGATCATTCATCTATTCACTAAACATTGAGCACATACCATGTGCCATTCATGTTCTAGGCTTTGGAATTGTATCAGTGAACAGACAAAGCCCTTACCTGCACAGAGCTTACATTCAAGTGGAGAGAAAGCAAGTAAAATATACATTGTTAGAAAGTTATAGGTGCCTAGAAGAAAAAGAATAAGTCAGGGAACAAAAATACAATATTCATGAATTGGGAAGGTTGAAAGAGAAGGCCTTCAATGACTAAGGTCTGGGGCATCCAAGCACTGAGAAGTAGACAAATTAGAGACAAGCAGAACAAGATTCCGAAGCAGCAATCCTAAACAGGAAATCATACAAAGGAAGCTAAGCAAAGAAAATACTGTAAGGAGTCAACTAACACAAATGTTGATGTGTCAAATGAGATCAGATCAGAGAGTCAGGTGCAGTGGTTATCAGATCAGCAATGGATTTTCATATTCAAGGAATCTCTTACCCAAGTGAAAACTTGTGATGCTGGCAATTCAGCTCAAAGAGAAGCTATAACGTGCTTCCTTTAACTGAAAAAAAATTTTTCAACTCAGCAAAGAAAAAGAATTGTATGGTAAGGTTGCTAAGATTTGTGGTAAAAATCTATTCATGAAATTTGGAAGAAGGAAATAAGATCACACTCATTTTCCTTAAACTGAAAAAGTCATCGCCATAGTGTGTGATGAGGGGAAAATGGTATATATAGGGATTGGCTACTATCTGTAATTTCAGACATCCACTGGGGGCTTGGACTGTATTCCCCACAGATTCGGGGGCTGTCTGTGCCATAGACTGGGTGGCTTATACAACAGAAGTGTATTTTCTCACATTTCTAGAGGCCAGAGGTTCAAGATCAAGGTGTTGGCAGGGTTGGTTTCTTGCCAGGCCTCCTTGGCTTACAGAAGGGTGGCTTCTCACCCCCAGTACTGCCCCTGTGCGTCCTAACCAGCACTTACCAGGATACTAGCCACCAAATGGGGCTCACTTTAACTTCTCACTTTAAAGACCCTCTGTCCACATACAGTCATGCTCTGTGGCCTTCCGTGTAGGAACTCAAGGGAACAGTTCAGCTCCTGTTCTGAGCTTGAGAGCTATTTGCTTGCCACATGTATTAACACACACACTGTAAGTATCCTGCCAGTGACTCAAGTCCTCACCCCAGCACTGTTACAGAAACAGTACTCATTATTCCCACTTTACAAAAGAGGGTACGACAGTGCGGACAGGCCAAGTTCTGTCATAAAGGTCACTTAGCTTGTATATTGCACAGTTGACACCCAGGGCTTGTGTTGTCACCACTATGTTCAACTGCATTTTCTTTTTCTTGTTTTTAATCTTTATTAAATTTATTGGTACATTTTAGGCATAAAATACAGTTACATTCATCATTGGGATCTTGTACCTTTACATAATTTATCTTATTTTTCCCCATTCCCCAGCCCTCCCTTCAGCCCCTCCACCCTTCCCTGTTTACAAAGACATTCTTTCCATGTTTTTCCTTTTCACATAGTTTTTCTTTTCCCTTTTTACCTTTCCCCTACCCCTGCTTTTTCCATTCAACAGATATTGAAGGCCTACTCTGTGTCAGGTTTGGTTCTTGGTGTTGTGGGTACAGGAGGGAGCAAATCTGGCAAAAAAGAAAAAAAAAAGAATCCCCTGACCTTGTTACGATCATGTGGTTCTGGTTTTTTGTTTTTATTTCTGTAGTACTGAAGATTGACCCCAAGGGTTTTGCACTGAGCTAAGTCTCCAGCCCGTTCTTATTTTTTTTTTTTAATTTTAAGACAGTGTCTCATTAAATTTCCCAGGCTGGGCTAGAATTTGCAGTCCTCTTGCCATGGCCTCCAAGAGTTCTGGGATTACAGGAGTATGCATCATCCCTGGCTGGTGTGGTTGTGCTTTCAATTTCTGCAATACTGATAACAAAACCACAAATCCTCACAAATCCTCATATCCTCACAAATCCTAGGCAAGAGCTCTACTACTGAGCTACATTCACAACTCTGGTTCTGTATAGTATTTTTATTGCACTGGGAGCTACCCAAAGCTGCACGAGTGATGAAAGTGTGTAGAACACACACAAACACATGTATAACTGTGAGTGCATGTATAGCCGGTAAAATCTGAATAAGCCCCATGGATGGTGACACTATAGATGTCTAGAGTGTGCTGTTGTAATTATGCAAGATGCTAAGCCTGGGGAAGGCTGCTTTGAAGGGTGTCCTGGCCATTTCTCTGCAACTTCTTGTTAATCTATAATTGTTTCAAAGTATTTTTTGGTGCTGGGGATTGAACCCAGCGCTTGTGCATGTTAAGAGATGTGCTCTATTACTGAGATACACTCTGGCCCCACTGAACAGAATGACTGTGGGGAAGGAGACAATAAAGAATAACATTGCTGTTGCCGCCTGTGTCACAGCGCAAGGTTCAATCCTCAGTACCAAAAATAAAGCGCAAGTTTCGATCCCTGGTACCAAAAACAAACAAACAAACAAATAAATAAATAACAACATGGCATGCTAGAAGGTGGTGTCATCAAGAAAACAAAGGAGGTAAAGCAGAGGGTTAAAGAGTGTTCGGGGGCTGGTTACACCAAAGTGACGACACTTTAGCCTGGACTTTGATGGAGATGTGGGCAAGGCTGTTATTCCTCATCAAACAGAGCACAGCACCTGGCACGGAAAACAATTCTGTTTATTTAACAGTCTGTCACTGTAACTCAGTCCAGGGATTTGTAACCATTTTTGTGTCATGGACAGTTTGATGAAGCCTGTGGACTTATGTTCAGAACTTTTTGAAGCAGGGTCTTGTTAAATTGCTAAATTTCCCGGGCTGGGTTCCAACTTTCAATCCTTCTGCCTCAGTCTTCAGAGTAGCTGGATTATAAATGTGCCTACCTACACCTGGCTTTCAGAAATTTCTTAATACAAAAGATTACAAAGAAAAACAGTTAACATTGCAATAGTCATTACAATATTTTAAAAATAAATGTGTGCTAGCCAGGTATAATGGTACACGCCTGTGATCCCAGCATTTGGGAGGCTGAGGCAGGACAATCACTGAGTTCCAGACCAGCCTTAGCTACATAGGGAGTTCAAGGCCAGCCAGAACTGCAAAGCGAGACTGTCTCAAAAAAAAAAATCCAAAAAACAGCAACAAATAAGTGTGCTATAGTAACATAGATTTTGTTTCAATAGTTCTGTTTGTGGGTCTAATTAAATAATATATTTTTATTTTATGTTTTTGGGACCGAGAATCAAACTCAGGACCTTGCACTTGCCAGGCAGGTATGGTGCCCCTGAAGTACATCCCTAGCCCAACAAACTGTATTTTTAAAAACGTGATGAGCCTGTGTGGTCCACACCTGTAACCCCAGCAGCACTTGGGAGGCTGAGGCAAGAGGATCATCAGCCTGAACTACAAAGTGAGACCCTGTCTCAAAAATAAATAAATAACACTTTGAATGTGTAAACGATAGTTTAAGATATGATCACCAACTGCAATGTTAATATGAAAACATTCAGGATTTCTATAGGTGACCAAGTCACAGGTACCACTAATGCCACTGTGGTCTGTTGTCTACATTTGTAAATAAAGCAAGCTTTAAAATCAGTCACTTTAATTACAGTTGTATTTTTCCCGTCCAAGCTTAGACTGAATTCTACACATGGACTCTTGTAGGCCTGATTAAACGCCTATGCCTCAAATACAACGGTGCAAAAAATGCTCGCGGTAACTGCAAAGATATAGAGATTTTTGTGTTTTGTTTTGTTCTTTCTTTTTGTTTGTAGTGCTGGAGATGGAACCCATGGCCTCGCACCTGGGTCAATTGTAGCTCAGGTTTTTAAGTGGGGAAAAGAAAAATATGAAAACTGGGGAATGCTAGCATACCAAACGCATGCCATTCATTCCTCTATACCTGGCCTAAGGTAGACAAGGTCAGTCTCCACCTCCTAGCAGCTAATTGGCAACCTTTTACCTATTGGAAAACCCCAAGGCCCTCCCTATGCTTACAGGCCTACGGGGTCCGGCCCCAGCAGTGGGTCCCTCCTGCTTCCAGGGACACCCCGATCCCGCCCAGTCCCGCAGCTCCCCGCCGGTTCTCTAGGGCAAAGGCCTGATGGGGCGTTCCCGGGCCCCGCCGCTCGGGGCGCGCTTCCGTCCAAGTACTGGGCCGACGCCCAACGCTCGACGCTCTGAGGTGACGCACGCGAGTTTACCCCCTCCCCTCACCCCGTGCCCGGTTTTGGAAGGGTTTTGGAAAGGTTTCGACTTTGGTACTTAGCATAGGCTATCTCACCCACGAACCGGGCGGCCTCTAGCACACAGAAGAGCGCCTGAGGGAATCTCTTATGCAAGCGAATTCCAATTCGCACCAAGCAGCGCAGGTTCCCACGCCCCCCCCCCGGGAGCGCAGGTAGAGGGTGAAGGGGAAAAATGGCTAGCGCAACCTCCAGGCGTCGTCCGGTGCGTGGCGTCACCTCCTAAGCCCCACCTCCTTACGGCGCCTTCTAAATGCGTGCTTCCGCCTACTTCCCCCTCTTCTGCTTCTGTCCGCCATCGTGTGCGTACGTTTACTTCCGAGCTTAACTATGGTGAGTCTTATCGGCCAACATCGGCTCCGAGGTGGCTTCCCGATTCAAGAAGCTGCCGCAGGCTTGCTGGGGCCGCGTAGAGCATCGAAGGGCAGGGCTATTTTGAAAGCTTTTTCAATAAAAGGTCGAATTTTGCCACTGCGGGCCTGGAGGGAAGCTAGGGATCCCCGAGGGAGTGGCGGGCTGCGCCGACGTCGCCGATTCGAGGGGGCGCTCTGGTTCCTGGGCCACTGCCGATGAGAGGAGCGCAAGAATTCTTGCTTCCTTTCCACTGGAGCGGACTGGGATTCTGGAGGAGAGAGGTCACAGGATCACCCCAGAAACTGCAGCTCAACTGCCAGCTGTCCGAGGCCGGCACGGTGTTCTGGGCGCCAAGAGGGGAGTTTGTACCAGGAAAGAGCAACATTTTGAGACCGCAGGACTTTTTTAGTCGTTTGCTCAGAGATAGGAGCATTGCCCCGTGGAAGCTCCTGCTCCCGGCAGCGTTGTGCACCTGTGTCATTCGGGAATTCTTAGTAAAAGCAGCGCACCAGTCGCTGCTCTGACAGGGTTTGCCGAGTACTTTTATTGGCTTATAGGTATGGAGGGGATCAGTATTTGAGTTTTATTGTTTATTGCTTGACTATCCACAGCTGCTACTGTGGATTGGAAAGAGGTGTAGACTATTTTCTTTATAATGGACTCTATTATGCAAGGCGTTAATTTTACTGGGTTTGAAGCGGTGGGAGTTGGGCTTAAGTAACCCAAGTTCATGAAAGCTGAAAGATCAGTAAATTAGGAAAGTCATCTTTGAGAAAGTGACATTTTAAATAGAACTAATAACCAAAATGGTAAATGGGTTGGGTCTACTGGATCTTGAAGATTGCATAAATCTTAGCCTCGAAATGACCTTTGAAAGTGGGTGCTTCCATTTTACAAGGTAAATGGTAGGTTATCTCTGCACATTACTACTAATTTTTGGACGGTTTACTCTAGTCGTTCATTCTGCTTATTCTGTTTTTATTTGAGGCAGGGTCTCACTATGTAGTGCTCGCTGGCCTTGAACTAAGTAGTCGGCTATCCTCAAACTCCGGATCCTTAGGCTTCTGAGTGCTGGCATAGGCGTGTGTCGCCACACACAGTTCGCTATGCTTATTTTTATTTGAAAGGTGGAAAGTATGGTAAACTGTCTCCAGAGAAGTGGAAGTCAAATGGGCTTGATAGTTTAGCACTGAAATTGTCTTGCGGCTATATATTAAGCACTCAAATGTTTGTTTGGACGAGGGAGTTTTGTCTTTTGAGCGGGCTCTAGTGTCAGTTTAAATTGGTTGCATCTCCTTGCAGTCTTCTCACAAGACTTTCAGAATCAAGCGATTCCTGGCCAAGAAGCAAAAGCAGAATCGTCCCATTCCTCAATGGATTCGGATGAAGACTGGTAATAAAATCAGGTAAGATGTCTTATTGTTCCACTTTTTTGGTTAAATTTTTGGGTTACTTTTCGAGTATAAATTACGCTGTGAAAGTTAATGGAATTCAGTCCATTCTGTACCACCATTGTCTTGAGATCCTTTCCCCCGCCCTTAATGTGCTTCCTTTTCCACACACACTGCACCAGGCCACAACTGATCCTTATTAATTTCCTGGTTGTCTTAGTCTGAGGTGGAGAGCTAGAGCTACAGCGGGGAGGGCGCTCTCTCGCTTGGGTACTTTAAAAAAGATGGGGAACTGCTCTCTACTGCAGAAGTATTTAAATTGATGATCTCAGGAGAGACGTTTTAGAAACCTCCAAGATGAGCTAGTCTCCAAACTTTTTTGGCCTACTACTATGACCAGCTGGCCTGAGATAATTCTTGAAGGGAGGAGAAACAGCATCAAAAATGAAAGGAATTTGCCAGATAGCAGCCATTTACAGTCCGGGTGTGTTAAGCATTCCGAGTTTTTTGTTTAAAATGAACTACCAGGTTTCCTGGCTTATTTCAAAGCCAAAGAGACGGAGAAGGAGGGAGAAAGCTGAAAGAAATTTTTTAAATTATTATTTTTCAAGCACTTTTGAGCTGACATTGTAAAGTATGAACTTGAAGTGAGTCCTTTTTGATTTTTTTTTTTTTTTTTTTTTTTTTTTGGTACCGTGGATCGAACTAGGGCCTTTGCGCTTTCCGGTTTTTTGGAGACAAGGTCTCACAATGTAATTCATTCTAGCCTCAACTCAAGGTGATCCTTCTCAGAAGAATCACCTGGGATTACAGGTGTGCTCTATCACACTTGGCGATGGGTGCCTCTTTAAAAAGAGGACATGGAAGCCAAGGAGTGCAGGATTACAAATTAATGTAGAACTCATTTTGAATTGTATGTCAAATCTGGTGTGATGGATTTGCTGATATGAAGAGGTAGATGATTGGGGCTAAACTGGAGGGCCTATTTCCTTAATTCTTTTAACCAGTTAGATATGTGCAAAATCTCTACCCACTGTAGCTTCATAGGCTAGTTAATTGTTAACTTTTGTCTGCTGTGTACTAGATACTGTTCTATATTATTTCTATGTACTGAACTGTTTGCAGGGCCTATCGGCACAGGCAGTAAGATTTTAAAGCCTATGGCAGCGGTGTTAGAAGTGAGTGGTGGTTTGTTTGATGTATCCTCATGAACATCACATCCCCATCTGATGAGGGTGGGACCTGCCTTCCAGGTTGGGAGGAAAAAACCAAGAATTCAGTGCTTAATTGAGCCTGCTATTAGTAGTATTAGACCCTTGTTCTGTGATCTAGAGTTGGGAAGGAGTTTTGTACTTGGTATTATATATAATTAGCATGATAGAATTTTTTTTATCAGCTATCTTTTAAGTACTTTTTTCCTGTGCCCCGGGGATCAAACCCATATCCTTGTACAGGCTCATCAAGCACTGCATTGAATTCTAACCCCCAGCCCTTTTTGGGACCTTTATATGGGTTGAAAGCAGGTTGCAATTACAGTGCTTCATTTTTGTGGAAGTACTGCCATTATCCTGCTAAAAGAAAAGAACTGTGTTGGTTGTTTTTGATTTTGCCTTTGTGAGGGTAAAATCATAACAGATTGACACTGACAATTCAGATTTCTTTAGCTATGCAAATCACTACTGCTCTGGGGTAGGCATGGGTGAGGTGTTAATTGATCTGTTGTATGCAGGAGCTTTTTTGTGTGTGATCCATTAGGCTCACAGTACCGCAGCATCTGCCCCAGGTCTTTGAATCAAAGCCAAGGATAGGACTTCCCAATTCAGAACCCATCCTTAGCTAGGTGCTGTGACTGCAGAACTGTAATTTCAGCTGTTAAGGAGGCTGAGACAGTCGCAAGTTCAAGGCCAGGCTGGCAAAAAGGACTAGAGATTCCTTGAGTTCAATCCCTAGCACCACAAAAATGAAAAGGAACTAAGACTTGAGTGATCTCAAGTTAAAGCTTGGTTTAACTTTTTTAAAAAGGACATGTGGAAAGTCATTTCTTTACTCTTCAGAAAGCTCCAGACTTCTTAAAAGAAGGAACCCTTTGAGTTCTGCCTAAAGGGCCAAGTTGGGAATGAAAACAGCTTTTAAATTATGGCCAGGCTGATTTGTGACCTGCGGCTTCTTTCTGTGTAGGTACAACTCCAAGAGGAGACACTGGAGGAGGACCAAGCTGGGACTGTAAGGAATTGAATATGAGATGCAGCGTATTTGTCTCCTGGAAGTCAAAAATGATAAATTCTTTATCATGGTCAAGGTTACATTACCGTATCAAGCTTTGAAATACCATTGGCTGGACAGTTGAACATGCTTAATCAGAAATCTTATTCTGTGGTCGCGCTAATGAGTCAACAATAAATGTTTTGAAACGTTTTGAATTACTCTTAATTTCTTCTCCCCCACCAGGTATGAGACTGCTGCTTTCTGCAATGACAGAATTTTTCTCTGGCTACCTGGTATTGAAGTGTGTTTGATGCTGGGACTGGGGTTTATTTGTCTGTTTTTTGGTTTGTTGAGATGGGGGTCTCCCTATGTAGTCCAGGCTGGACCTGAGCTAAACTGTCGAATTGGTACAATCCTCCTGCCTGAGCCTCCCTAGTGGTTGGGATTGTAGGTGCGCACCACCCTGCCCAGCTAAATTTTTTTTAACTGTAAAACTTAACTTTGAGGTATAGAATAGAGCCATTCACATTTTATACTTTTTCTGTAAGCAAAAGGAATTTTATGGGCATGGTGATGTATACTAAGGCAGCTGGGGGGTGGGAGGGAGGCAAGTTAAAGGCCAGCCTGAGTAACTCAGCAAGAGTGAGACTCAGAAAGGAGGTATATAGCTCAGTAGTAGAGAGCTTCCCTAGCACACATGAGTCCCTTGATTCAGTCACCACTGCAATAAAAAGGCAGGAAAGAAGCAAGTTTGCTTTTGGGGGAGTATTTTCAAAGGCTTCCCAGACTCTACTGCAACTTGAGAAGGATGATATCTAGTGAGCAAGGGACAGATGCTGAAACAAAGTAGCTTGTGACCTCAGGTATAGAAAAAGACATATATCCTTTTAATCAAAGACCAAATTCTTGATTTGGAGCTGCAGGTCAGTCAGTCCAAGCTGGATTCCAATGCTACCTCTTCCAGAGACCCAGGATGGCTTCCACATTCTTAGCTGGAGCTGCTACTTCCAGCAGGAGCCTTCATGATTGCCTTATGCATCATGTCCTGGCACCCTCCTCTGCAGGTTTTCTCAGACAAGTACTTTGATGGGTACCAAACAATACTAAGTAGATACAACTTCTTCGCTTAGTACTGTGACCATGAGTTAAAAGGTTAATAAAATAACCAGGCTGTAGCTCAATGCTTGAGCATTTGTTAGATGTGCTAGACCCTGGATTACTTTCCCAGTACTACAAATGAAAAAAAAAGGAAAACCATAGAGGAAATTGGATGTAGGGGTTTTTTTTCGGGGGCGGGTACTGAAGATAGAACCCAGGACCTAGTGTGTGCCAGTTCAAGTGCTGTCCACTGAATTACATCCTCAGGCTCCCTTTACAAATTTTTGGAAAGGATTGGGGAGGCAATAGTTTGTTTCAGCAGGCGGTTAGCAAAGGGTTCACGCTGGTGTAGACAACCAGGCCCACACTGGAAACAAAATGAACTGATAACAATGCTGTGACTCCTTAGTTATTGAGGAAGTAGAAGTCCTGAACCCAGCCCTATTCTTAGGAAACTGTAAAGTGTCCCAAGAAGATACAGATGTTCATCTAACAGGAACACTGAAAGGAATTTTATGTAACAAATTATTTCTAGAACAGTGATTGATGGTGAACCTTTTTGAGACTTAAGTGCCCAAACTGCAACCCAAAACCCACTTATTTATCATAAAGTGCCAACACAAACCTGAGTACTGAGGTTTTAGTTTAGGAAAACAGCTGTTACTTGATACTCAGCTGCTGGGCAACTTGGTTTGTGTTTGGACAGAGAGGGCTCTGTGCATTTTAAGATGGGTTCACTAAATTCCCAGGCTGGCCTCAAATGTGTAATCCTGCCTCAGCCTCCCAAGTACTGGGATTATAGATGTGCTCCACTATGCCAAGATTTAAATTCCTACTATTTTAAAAGTGGGCCCAGATTGTCAGTTTAGACCCTGGCTTAGTTAGCTCTTCTGTATTTTACTGGTCCAAACCAGTGGTGGTGGGCCTGTGGTACACGTTATGCAGCAGGCTGGTTTTTTTTTGGGGGGGTGAGACTTACCTGGAACTCATTGTGTAGCCCAGGCTGGTCTTGAATTCACAGTGACCCTCCTGCTTCAGCCTCCCTATTGCTGGGATTATAGGTGTGTACCACCATGCCCTGCGGCAGTAGGCTGTTAATGAAAGCTCTAAAAAGTTTGCCATCACTGGTCAAAACAATCATAAAACCTATCTAGAGTCACAGGAGAGGAATATAGACCCCACCTATTGGAAAGGGTGTTAATTTGTTGTGATCTTTAATCCATGACAGGCTAGGGAAAAGAGCATTGGATTCAAGAAATCTGAACCAAATAAGTTACATAGGAGATAAAGGTTCTAGTCAGGCCCTGTGGAGCAGGCCTATAATTCTAGCACTCTGGAAGGCTGAGACAGGAGGATTGCAAGATCAAACCCTGTATGGGCAATTTGTCAATTAAGAGACATTGTCTCAAAAAGAGTAAAAGGGGGCTGGGGATTTAGCTCAGTGGTTCTGCCTCCTGGGAGTTCAATCACCGGTACCCAAAAAAAAAAAAAAAAAAAGATAGTCCCATTTTGAAAGCTACAACAGCCTGCTGTTAACCACATCAGCTTTTAGGACTTCGATTTTCTTCTATTTGAAATGAGGAAATTGGATTTAACCTCTAAGCTTGAAAATTATAAGTTGTAATGCCACCTTTGTTTGTTTTTGAGAGGGTTGTAATGCCACCTTTGTAACTAAATGTACATCTAATGTGATGCTCCTTACAAAGGTGTTTCCATGGGGATCTCCAAGGGAAGAATGGCTTAGGAGTGGAAGGCAAGTAAGCTACAAAAATCAATCGGGCCAGGCATTTAGCTCAGTGGCACCGTACCTACCTGCCTCACAAGCACAAGAGGTCCTGAGTTCAATCCCTAGTACTAGGAAAAAAGGGGAAAAAAAATCAGCCAAGCAGCAGATCTAAATTCAGGGTCAGCTGCCTCCATCTCCCATTTGCTTGCTCCAGAACCTTTCATAAATGGCGAGTGAGACATGCAGGGCTGTGCCCAGTGCTGGGCTGCAGGAGTGAGATCCGGGGACAGGCCATGTGTCCCATGTCTGCCCCAGCCGCTTGTGTGCTTGGGAACTGGTCCTGATAGGAGAGGCTGAGGAAGTGTTACTGACAGCTGAATTAGAAATGTAGATAGGCCTTCTAGGGGGTCCATGTAGAAGAACACTTCAACACTGGCTGGAGGCACATCTGAAAAAGGCCAGGCCACAAGATGATTCGATAGGCCTGCAAGCTTTCCTAAGAGATAAAGAGCAACAGGAGTAATTACTATAATTAGTACACCCTGTCCAGTAAGTCCAGCTAGGCATCAGCAGATAACCAGAACATCCAGACTGATCCTCCCGTCCCTTCTGTCCCCTTTCCAAGAATGCCTCTGATCTTTCTATGTTAGAAGTTATAGATAAGCTGGAGTTAATGTTGCCATAACCCTGCATAGCTGTCTTCCCTGCTGGGTCAGTATTAGCTAAGCGACTCTACCTTAATCCTATAGGTAGATTGTACAGTAGTTTGACCCATGTACCCGCCTTGTGATTTTGCTCTTGGAGGAAGAGCCTCTGTGGCTACCCCTTCTAGGACCGACCTCAGGAACTTTCTCTCGAACCTTTCGCATTCTTCCTTTGGCCTCAAAATTCATTCTTCCAGCTGGGGATTTAGCTTAGTGGTTCAGTGGCCTGCCTTGCAAACACAAAGACCCGAGTTCAATCCCCGGTACCAAAAAAAAAAAAAAATTCATTCTTCCATATTTCGGAGACATGAACTCACACATCTGACATTGAGTGGGTTGGGAGCAAGCAGAGCCCTAACGGTTGAAGAGAAGTTAGATTTAGGGGGCAGGGCTGGGGGCAGAGTATGGCATATTCACATTTTAAGAGGAAACAGACAGAAGAAGCCCAATCTAGAGAAAGCTGTGAGACTGAGGGAACCAAAAGTGTCTCAGCAGGACTGGAGAAAGGGGATATAGTCGGGGTGTGGGAAGAGGATGCCAGGAGGAAGTCATGATGGCGGGTGAGGCTGGGGAGGTCTTTGGGGCCAGGTTATAGGGAGTCTTCAGTCCTTGAGAGGGAGCTTGAACTCTGCTGGGCCAAGAAAAGCCTTAAAGGGTTTGACTGCACAGTGGACTATCTGGTTGCAGTTAAAGCATCACCAAGAGGAGAGGCTGGGTAATTAGGTGATGGATATGCCCTTTACCCTGATTTGAGCATTACACATGGTATACATGTATCAACATCATTCTCTACACAAAATGTACACTTATTTTGCATCAATGAAAAAAGTTTTTCAGGGGGTCTAGCTCAGTGGTGCCACGCCTGCCTCGCAAGCACAAGGTCCTGCATTCGAATCCCCATACTGAAAAATGAAAAGGTTTTTTTTTTTTAAAAGGGCTGGGCATGTGCTCAGTGGTAGCATGCAGGAGGCTCTGGATTGCAAGTTGGAGTCCAACCCAAGCAACTTAGCAACTTAGACCCTGTCACAAAAACAAAAAACAGAGGGGCTGAGGATGTAATTTAGTGTGAAGCCCCTGGGTTCATTCTCTAGTACATGTACACACACAGTAAAAAAGTAATAAAAAGGAAATATAAGGTAAAAAACCATTAAAGCTAGGGTGTGGACTACTGAGAAGAGTCAGGTGGGGTGGCTGCGCTTGGAAGAAGGAGACCCCTAAGAGGCTCTGATTTTGTTTATTAAACTTGAGACTGGTTTTAATTCCCATGGGGACACGGGTGCCGACTCGGTGGAGTGAGCTGGATTCAGTAGGATCAGCAAGAATCACGACTGGCTGCAGGGGAAGAGGAAGAGAGACATGGCCAGGTGTCTGGCTTATGCCACAGGGCTAGTGGTGGCATCGCTAGGAGGGAAGGCCCGTGAGAGTAAGTCTCTGGGACTGTGTGTGTGTGGGAGGGTGATATTGGAGACAGCAGGAGAACATCCCGGAGAAGGTGCAGTTTTCTCAGGAGTGACAGCCTGCTTCTACAGTGGGAGGGGAGCCCAAAGAGAAGTAGGAAGGCAGAGGGACCTACGGTCCCTGGATCCAAGAGCCTGGGGGGTGGAAGGAAGAGTCAGCTTCAGACTGGGGATTAGTCTTACA